TAGTGCGAGAGTCCCTAAAAATCCATAGGTCCTCCTCCATTTCTTAGCTTTCTCTATTTCCTTTATCTTGGATGGAGAAAGCAGTGTGGTACAGAGGAAAGAGCATTGACTAGAGACAGAAGACCTAGGTTTAAACACCACTGATGCTTATTACCTGTGCAACTTTTGGCAACTCCCTCAACCTCTCCGGGGCTCAGTTTCCCCATCTGCACAATGAGAGGGGTTAGTCCGGATGACCCATGAGGTCTCATCCAGCTCTGGATCTAAAATCCCATGAATACAGGCAAGTCACTTCAATTATCTGAGCCTCAGTTTCCCCAATTGTAAAATGAAGGGGTTGGACTAGATGACTTCTGAGAAATAGAAATGTAACTAGTCTAGTAATGCAGCTAGTCCTGTCCAGTGTTACTGGAGGGTGAGGGGGATGGGGGTGGGCTAATGGTTTGGAGTCATAGCAACTCCATTTTTCTACATTCCCAACAAACCTAGGTCTAGATCTATGATCCCATAACCTTAGGTAAGTAGCTTCACTTTTCTAGGCCTTGGTTTCCCCATCTGTAAAATGAAGGCCTTAGATCCTAAGACTTCTAAGAGACAGGAATGTAGTTAGAATAGTGTGACTAGTACAGTCCAATGATCCTGGGGTACTGTTGATTTGGGATTATGGGGAACTCCCAGCACTGCCAACTTCCTCTGCTCCCAACAAACCATGCTCTAGTGCTCTGACCCTTTGACTTTGGTGAGTCAGCTCACTTCACTAAGCCTCAATTATCTCCATCTGCAAAATGAAGCAGTTGCACTAAGTGAGCTCTGAGGTCTCTTCCAGTGGTTCTCCAACGATGATTTTATAATAGGGCATTCTTGATAGATTTGTAGGCCAAAACCAAGCCCCTCTCCATGATCTTTACTTCATTACCTAAAGAAGGGACTCTTAAACAGCAAGCATTTTCAGAGAGTAATGGTCTTCTACTACTAAGGCAAGCATCTTTAAGAAGTGATTAATTCTGATATGAATCAGCTCTGTAATTTCTGCTGCTGGCCTCTTTAAAAAACAATTTAAGAAAGTTCCCCCAACACCTCACCCTATCCTTTCCCACATTTCTTGCTGTCCATCCAGTTAAAAGAAATAATGAAATGAATACACAGAGGAAGAAGAAGGTTAATGAAAGATTAAGCAACCTAAAAGTCACCCCCAAGTCCTCACCATGCCTTTCTAGGTGCTGTCTTCCTGGTGACCTGACATTTGGGGGTTTTACTTTCCTAGGAGATGCTCATGGAATATTCACAAAAGCACAGTTGTGGGAAGGCTTCTTAACCCTAGGACAGAGCGGAAAGCTCAAGCTATCCTGCTGATACAATTAGGGTGGCAGTTATATGTCAAATTAGCATAAACAGCTAGGGTCCCTCGGCTTCCACCCCAGGGGGCCTCAGCCATGCTTCACAGGTTGCTAGGTTGCTGCCTTTAATGAATTAAATATATCAGTAAAGCAAAGTTCCTGATTTGACTGTAATGTCAACACCACTTAGTCAACTCTAAAAACACAGAGATAAGGGAAGAAGAGATCAGAGGGTCTAAGACATTGCAAACTTTGGGGGGCTATAGGCCCCAAGCTGTTGTAGAAGGTTGCAAACAAACATTCAAATTCAATACATCTTTATCTCACTTTCTCTCAAGGAACCCCAGAATATCCAACGATGAAGCAGAACAGTACAGATTGTTGGCAGAGTCCATGATCCAAAGTCTTGGAGAAAACTGACTGTTGTCTATATATTGGGCTCATCCAGGAAGTCTTCCCTCTGGAGTCTGAGTAAGCACCTCTTGCCCACTATGTAGCTTAGAAAAGGTATGATGTTTCTAGACAAGGTGTCAAACCCATGAGCAGTGGCCCCACTAATTAGGTCTTCATTCTGGCATGGATTCAAGTTCACTGCTGATTCACACACCAGAACTATGCCTTGTAAAGGGCAACACACAAACTCGAGTGGACTGGAGAGGGAGGGAGGAGGTCAGATAGAGGGGAAAGAATGGGGAATATATTAACATGGATTTGGTTTCCTGGAGAGAGACTTGCACAAGCAGAGGATTTCAGCAGTGGAGAGGTGGTGGTAGAGCAGCAAAGGAGTTGCTGGACCAAGCCAAGGACTTGGTTTAAGCCAAGGACTGCAGGCATCAGAACAGAGTAATAATAAGGCATTCAAATCACAGCAAGGAGGAGCAAACCTTGACCTGGCAGTTTGCTGGTTCTTGAAGACTTGTAGATTGTACATGAAGAAGTGGAAGAGAATCAATGTTCTAGCAGCTCCAAGTTTTTTCCCCTTCTCTGAGGGCCTCAATACTTGGAGGGTACTATAAGCCTGAAGGACTGGAGATGGAATATATATCTTACTAGAGAAGGAAGCAGAATTAGCTTGGTTGTTTATGGGCCCAGGTTTTGGTTCTTTCTTCTTTTCTGTCTTCATGTAGAAGGTGGGACTTAAATAGCATCTAACCCTAATTTTGAGGTGATATAAAATCTGCCCTATAGATTAGATTTTTTGTTAGCTTGAGTGCTTGCATGGGAGCCAAGACCTCTTTTTTTCCTTTTGTTGTGGAAATGTTGACATGAACCAAATTCTGATGTTCCTAGAAGAAACCCTGAACTCGAGCACAAGCAAAAGATTTGCCCAGTGTCACAAAGATAGTGTATGTTTAGCAGCAGAGCTAGGACAAGAACCCAGATCTCCTGATCCGCAGTTCCAAGGCTTTTTTCCCTACACTCTAATATAATAATCACCCCTACCATTTTTATAATACTTTAAAGTTTTCAAAATGCTTTCACACACATTATTTTATTTAGTCCTCCTAAGAAATGGAGGCATGAAAAGTAGTGGGCCTCAGATACAGGGAGACCTAAATTCACATCCCACCTCTGACACCTACTGGATTCATTTGACCCTGGTTGTCACTAAACCTCTCATTGCTCCTGGGATAACTCTCTAAAGTTGGAGGTTGTGCAGTAGTTGCTCATCTGCATGCATGGAGTGAGTTTCCTCGACCAGTATTCCCTATGCTGGTGGAATCACAGGTCTCACCAAAATATAAAATAAAGTGAAACAAAAAAGTAAAGGCAAATGACTTTCAATTTAGCCGAACAGTCAAGAGGCCTATATCTGCCACCTGATAAGGTTTGGAGCAAGTCACGTCTCATTATGTTTCAGGGTGTTATAAAGTCCTTCATAATCTATCCCTTTCCTCTCTTTCCAGTCTTCTTACACCTTACTCCCCTCCAAGTACTTTATAAAACGGTGACAACAAACAGCCTCCTTTCTGTTTCCTGAACAAGACACTCCATGCCTTAAAACTGACTGTCCCCTAAATAACAGTGCCTTCCCTTTCTCTCACTTAAATCCAATTCACTGCAAGTCATGGCATCACCTTCCTGATGTCATGGTCATCTTCAAGAACAAAGGACAAGCAACACCACCCCCAAGGTACCCTTTGTATACCTTGTATGTATATAGTTGTTTGCATGTCGTCTCTTCCATTAGAATGTGAGCTCATTGAAGGCAAGGACTATTTTTGTCTTTCTTTGGGAACCCTTGTCTCTCCCGGAAACCAAATCCCCAGAATGTAGCTCTGTGCCTGGTACATAGTAAGAGCTTCATAAATGCTTGTTGACTAACGGACAACATATACAAAACAAATGGGGAGGCATCAGGACAACAGTGGATGACATCGCCAAGCTGACCGTCCTCTTGCCTGGTAGACATCTCCACCATATGACCCTGCCTACATGAAAGGATGGGATAGCATGTCCCTGTTGGGGAAGGGGATTGGTACAGCAGTCTGTCCAAGACAAGCAAAGCTCACTCAGCAGGCAGAGATTAAGTCCTGAACTTACATGCACGTAACATTCCCATTAACCTCAGTGGGAGTTGTGCTCACAGGAACTGCAGGATCAGCGATAAAAAGACTGGAATGAAGCCGCAAGAGCCCAAACTGTAGGTTTTTCTTCTTCATCCGCAAACACAGCTTCATATTTGCAAAGGGCTTCGTTTGCAATCTGGTGAATCAGCCTCCTACCCTCTAACAGGGCCTGATTTACACAAGACCCCAAGTTGGGCGCTGGCAGGAGACTCCAAGTTGTTGTCTAAAGTTAAGAAAACCTGGCAGATCACAGAGGAAAGACCAGAGGTCACCAAGGAAAATCTCTAGCCAATAATGTTGATGAACCCAGCTGTCTGCTTTCCTCCCATTGGTCTTTTGGGGACCAGTTGCTCCATGGACCTCTGGCCCCCTGCTCCATCAGGCCTAGATTCACATTCTTTCTTAGGGCCAGGACCATTCAGTGTAATTCCCAAACTGACAAGACAGAATTAGTGAAGTTCTATTAATTGCTTCCTTGGAGTAGGAGGAAAGGCCAAGAATCCGCAGGAGAAGCAAGTTATGCTGCTGCTTTGGCCCTGAGCCACGGCCTTTTCAGCTATGCATGGCCAGAGGAGGAGTCCTATCCGGCCACTGCTGTGGCTCCCTCTATGAATAAGCCTCTGCAGCCTTTTGAGATTTCTCAGTAAAGTCCCCATCGCAGAATGAAAGTATGAAAATAACAGATTTGATCAAAGTATTCATTTAGAGAAAAAGTTGTCCCCCAAACTGTCATGATTAATAGATTGAGAAAGCCAGGACCCTTTAGAGCTGGAAGGGCCCTTGCAGATCATATCATCCCAGTTCCTTCATTTTCACAAGTTAGGAAACTGAGCATGAACTCAAGGGTATCTGAAAGAGGTTTGTGGATAGGGAGATGGCTTGTAGGCATCAGCTTCTCTGCTGCTTCTACCGGATCAGAGATGAAAGCAAAATGAAAATGTATAAAGTGTGGTCTTTCTTAGACAAAAGTGAAAAGATCCCCACCTTCCAAAGCCGAGCTGGACTACTGCTTCCTAATGACACCGCCCAGTTTTGAGCCTGAGAATTGGGAATGTGGGAAAAACCCTCACTGTGCTCCACTCAAGCAAAGCAACTAGTTTGGGAGGGCATCTTTCCAGGTTACTTCCTCTCTGCCAGCGCCATCTTGTGCTGGGTCCTGGTAGCAGCAGTATAGTGCCAATGTCTGGAGAGCAGAGATGTCCCAGAGGTAGGAAGTGTTACAGAATCTGAGCAGGCACAGAAGTACTGTTTAAAGGCAAAATCATATAAATGAATTATTAGACTTTGAGACTTCATCTAGTCCCTTCCCAAGCCTTCAGCCAGGGCCTATAGATAAGCTACCCTAGAAAATATGAGGTCCTTCCAATTCCCAGCGCCATCTTGAAAGGGGAAGTCCTTTCTTGAGGCCTGAGTCCAAATCTAACCACCACTCCCCATTAGGAAATTCTTCTTTTTGCTCAATTCCAAGACATCTTCCCTACAGGATAGTCATCACCCACTCTATAGGAAAGCCTTTCAAATACTCAAAGATTATTATTTAAAAATCACACTATAGGTTTCTTTAGGGCAGGGATAGTATCTCATATCTCTTTCTTTTATCCCCTACAGTGCATGACCCAGGGCCAGGTACCAGAATAGATGTTCAGTAAATTCTGAAGGTATCTTAAAGGCATAGGGCACTGAATTTGCAGTCAGAAGACCTAGGTTCTTCAACCTAATCACTGTATGATACCAGACAATTTACTTGAGTGCTCTATACCTCAGCTTAGTACAATGGAAAGAATACTGGAAATGGAATTAGAGGATCTAGGTTCCAATGCCAGCTCTACCCCTCACTGCTTGTGTGACCTTGGGCTAGTCATCTTAAGCTCTCTAGACTTCACTGTTTTCAACAGTAGAATGAGAGGTTGAACCAGATGACCTCCAAGGTCCCTTCTAGCCCTAAATCTGTGGTCCTATGATTAAATTATTCCTCCAATTTCTCTTCTATAATATGGATAACCCCATTCCCTTAACCTTTCCTTACTATTTGTTTGCCAATGCTTTCATCATTCTTGACAACACTAAAGTCCTACTGTGATGCCTCATGGTAGCGTAAAGGTGATTGTGAATTTTTAAAGGCTATACATCAGCAAAGCACAAGCTTTGGCAGGCTTTATTGAGCTGGAAAGACTCTAGTTAGTATTTGTTCAGTGGCAGGACTCTGGTCAGGGGCAGTCCTCTGTCATCAGAGGACTAGCCTGGCTAGGTTCAGAGGAGCTTATTGGCAAGTTGGCCACAGCAACTTATGAAGACCATCTAGTTCAGGGGTGGAGAATCTGCAGCCTTGGGACCACATGTGGCCCTCTAGGTCCTCAAGTGTAGCCCTTTGACTAAATCCAAACTTCACAGAACAAATCCCCTTAATAAAAGGAATTATTCTGTGAAGTTTGGATTCGGTCAAAGGGACATGCCCAAGGACCTAGAGGGCCACATGGGGCCTCAAGGCCACAGGTTCCCCACCCTTGATCTAGTTCATCAGAAGGAGTTGAGACCTGCATGGGAGTACTCATGCCAATGAAATCAACATCCCTGAAGTGCTAAAGAATTAGGCATCCTTGAGTTTTTACTTTGAACTTCTCCAAGTTCTCCATTCCTCTATTTATCTACGGAATCCACAACGGGGTCCATCATTCTCCTAACAGTCTGATTGAGTGTCATGTATAAAGGAAGGATAATATCAACTTCTGCATTCATAGACTAATAGATGTCAGAGTCCATCTCGTCTAACTCATACTTGAATTAGAATCCTTTCTGCAAAAAGAAGTAGCCAGCCAGCCCTTGCTTAGAGATTTCCAATGAGGCAGAACTCCTTAGTTCCCAAGTAAATGCATTCGGATTTTTGCTAACCCTAATTGTTCAAAAGTTTTTACTTCATAACATCGAACCTTGCATTGAATCTAAGTCTCACTCTCTTCAGCTTTAACTCACTATACAAAGCCAAATAAGTCCAATCCTCCTCCCACATGGTATCCTTTCTAAAGGCTGATTAAATAAACTCTAAGTCTGATTACAAGACTACTGCTGAAGTTTGTGATCTTTAGAAGGGATGTCATGTGGAAGAGAGATCGGAAAAGGGATTGGATTTGTTAAAGACAGCTTAAAGGCAGCTCTCCTGTCTTGCTTAAGTCTTATCTTCCCCAAACTATGCATCTGCAGTCCCTTCAAGCAATATTTGTATGGTATGTTGTATGGTCCTTTCCCCATTCTGGTCACTCTGTTATGGATCTGCTCCAAACTGTCAATATCTTTCCTGAAATGTGGTGGCTAGAACTGGACACAGTTCTCTAGGAGTGCTTTGAATTTTGCAGAACTCCCTCCCTCATTCTGTGTCCTCTACTTCTTTTCTTACAGCCTAGAAGGGTATCTTTTAAGTATTGCCTCAGATAAACTGAGACATGATAAAGATCTTAGCTTAAAAAGGCCAAGGTCTCCCACTGCATCCAAGGCCTATCCTGATCTATATCTTGCCACTGGACTCAGATGGCTCCAGAGAAGAAAGTGAGGCTAGTGACTTTGCACAGCCCACCCTCACTTAAATCCAATTCCCTTGCATGTCATGGCATCACACCCCTGATGTCATGGTCCTCTTCTAGAAAGAAGGACAAACAACAACTTCTGTGAGTAGTAGTGAGGAGCTGCCCCACTGGGGACCCAACTGGAACAGTGCTCCTCTCTCTCTCTCATTCTCTCTCTGTCTCTGTCTCTCTGTCTCTGTCTCTCTCTGTCTCTGTCTCTGTCTCTCTCTCTCTCTCCTTTCCCTTCCCTCCCCTTCCCTCCCCCCTGTCCACATAGGGTATTTCACTCTTACCTACCAGTGCTCTGCTGAAAAGAATATAAATTTTGACTGCTGAAACCTCGCAAGATATCTTGGGGGTTTATGGACTAGATTTCTTTCTTAAGGACTATACCTTAAACTCAAATCACCCTGGCTCTCATTGATTGGCCAACAATAGGTCCCAGGCCAAGCCCTACTTGGTCCTTGTTTGGGCCCTGATGGCTCAGAGTGAATGTGAATAGCAATTGTTTCTGTTTGGGCCAGAAATCCTGAGAGTCTTCCCCTCCCAGACTGATTTTTTTTGACTAGGTAAAAGACCACTCTCTGTCTCATTTCTTACCTAGCCTTAATCATTGAATGGTCATTGCCTCAGTCAAACTGAGACCTGATAAAGACCTTAGTCTAGAAAAGCCAACATCTCCCACTGCATCTAGGGCCATCTCCAGTCATCCTGATCTATATCTTGCCACCGGACCCAGATGGCTTCAGAGGAGAAAATGAAGCTGGTGACTTTGCACAGCTCTCTCTCATTTAAATCCAATTCACTTGCATGTTATAGCATCTCTTTCCTGATGTCATAGTCCTCTTCGAGAATGAAGGACAAAGGGCAACTAGGTGGTGCAGTGGAGAGAGCACCAGCCCTGGAATCAGAAGGACTTGAGTTCAAATCTGACCTTAGACTAGACACTTGACACTTACTAGCTGTGTGACCCTGGGCAAGTCACTTAACTCCAATTGCCTGGAAAAAAAATGAAGAATAAATAACAGAAGGGCATCCACTTTCTTGGCTGCCATAGCGTACTGATAATTTGTAGTACACTAAACTTGCAGATCTTTTAAAAAAAAATTGTTCTCTAACCTCATTTGTGAGGTTGGTTTTTGGAACCCAAGAGTAAAACTTGGCAGTCATCTCAATTCAATTTCATTCCTATTCCATTCATCCCATTATCTATATCTGTTTTTATCTTCTGGATTCTAGATTGTGTTATTTAATGCATTAGCTATCCTTCCAAGCTTCATGGACCAGCACAAATTGAAAATGTATGCCATATATAACTTCATCCAAAAAAATGGATAAGAATGTTGACAGATCCCTGAGTCATTCTATTAAAGGTATCCCTTTAAGATGTCACTCAATACTCCTAGTCATCCATTAGACTATGAACTCCTTGAGAGCAGGGACTTTCTTTTGCCTTTACTTATATCCCCAACACTTAGGATAGTGCCTCACACATAGTAGGTGCTTGATAAAGGCCAACCAACCAACTAGCTATATACCCAGTGACAGGCTGTTTTTCAATTATACTCCCTTGTTGACAGCTCATAATTGCCTCTAACTCTAAGTTCTATACATATAGTGCCATCAGGAGGTCGAGCTGACCCAAAGAATATGACTTAATTGACTTTTTAACTTTATTTGTAACACATTCTGTTTGGGCTCATAAATAAAGGCTATTGTAACCTCTTACCACCCCCTCTACAATGTAGCCAGCAAAGGTAGGTCTTGCCCTAAGAATTTTGCCTGATGGATATATACAGGACTTAAGTCCAAGATGCCTCCAAAAAGCATGAGAAAAGAGTTTCCTGGAAATACTACAAAAACTCTCGTTTCTGAGGTTATCTGTCAGGGCATATCCCCATTTACACATGCAATCAATCCCAGGCTAGCCAGGGAACGCAGGTGGCCCCTCAGTTCCCAATCTGTCCACTAGGTGGCACCAGAACTCTGACTACTTATGACAGCGCGGGGCTTTTTCATTTGACTTGGCTCGGCATGTCTTTATTCAGGTGATTTGCTGTGAAAATTTAATTAGCACCTTCTAAAAATAATTAATTTGTCCTTATTCATCCTCTAGAATTATGTGGCTTCTTGCAATTTATTTCTTGGTGTGTGCTAACTGAATGGGGGTAGGAGATGAAGGGGAAGATTCAGGCACAGAAGTGAGCCCCAAGGTGGCTGATGGGGGGGTATTCTACCCCCCAGCTTCAGGAGCAGCCTCCCTTTTTGCCACAACAGCCCACAGGTGGAGCAGGGCATCATTTAAGCCTGTTGTTCAATTCTTCTGCGAGCTTGAACAGGTCTGTGATCATCTCCTGGAGAAATACAAACCAAAATGCCAGTTAGGATGACTAGATAAGTAAATAGATCACCAAGGTCAAAATGGATACATGACCTAGATATAAAGGGAGATATTGCAAGAAAACTAGAAGAACTTGGAACATTTTAACTATCAGACATATGGGTAGGAGAACTATTTATGAATTAAACAAGAGATAGAGAGCATTGTGAGATAATGGATAATTTTGATTTCACTAAACAAAAGGTTTTTGTACAAATAAAACCAGCATAGCCAAGATTAGAAAGA